ATAAGATATTTTGGTTTACAGTGTCTGTGTGTCTGTGTGTGCGTGTGTGTGTGTGTGTGTGTGTGTGTGTGTACCTGGCTGGTCTGGTTGGGTTTTATATTCGGTCCTCGGACCATGAGAGGAACTCTGATGTCGAACTCGTAGAGCTGCCTTTTATCCAGAGGAAGAGAGAACTGACCTGAAAGAGAGGAAGACGTAAAGAAACCAGAGACACAACGAGCCAATCACATCTCTTTAACTTTATTACTTTATTATTTTCATTTCCTGATTTTAATTGGGCTTTTCAAAGTCCCCCTTTAAAATGTTTTCCCAATCCCCCTGGGTTAAACCCATGGTTGGGAAAAGCCCCACTTTGTATACTTAAGTGGCTACTTAAAATATTTTACTAACTAAAGTTTAATTTTTAATAATATTATCCTAATTAAACATTGTTGAAAAGAATTAAAAAAATCAATTGGTTTAAGCATTTCTGTCTCTTTATATGTCTTATATATTTCTTTTAAATTACACTGTCCAGTTATGTTTTACCTCCTGCTGTAATCTTTATGTGATTTCATCCATCCTTCAAGACAATATTCATATAATTAGATTTATTTTAGTATAATACTATAAACCATGTGTGTATCCAATAATTATATTATATTATTATATAAAATATGTATATAGTGTACAAATAATGAATTTAGTCGTTTTGTCAAAACAGCATCACACACTTCCATGTATACTTATTTTTTCTTCCATGTTTGTTTACTGTTTGTTTAACTCTTTAGGTTTTCCTCTGGTAGCCGCAGGTTTACTGTCAACACTGTGAACTGTGGGTAATTCCCTCAGGCAAAGTCTGCAGAAATTCAGACTGTGTGTGTGTGTGTGTGTGCGTGTGTGCGTGCAGTTCCTCACCTGTGTGGTAGCCGTTGTCGGAGGTAAAGAAGACGTACGTATTGTCCAGTTCACCTCTGACCTCCAAGCTCTTCACTATTTTCTCCACCAGGTCGTCCACTGACAGCAGAGTTCTCCACCTGCAGGCCGGGACCACAAACACTCCTCATAAAGGTTCACAGTGACACACAGATCGGGTTTACTGCGAGTCACCAACAACTGGAAGGTGAGGAGAAGCAACCACTGACCGTTTCCTGAAAGCATCATCCAGGAACTGAACAGAGGAGTTGGTCATCGGGGTTTTAGCCTGTCTGATCAACCAGTGTTTGTCCTGAAGAGACGCAAAGAAAACAACAATCAGCTCCTTTCAGCCAAATACTGAACTATCACACTGAACAATAAGGTAAGTCATTGCAGTCAGTTTATCCCCAATTATCCACAGAGGTCTCCTCTAACCCGAGCTGTAGTCCGACAACGACACTGACCGTTAGCTCGAATCCGTCTGATTGACGCTATACACAGGTTTTTACATTTTTAATGTGAAGAAAAAGAGTAACTATTTCTTTAAATCGACAAGCAACAACATGTACGACTGCAAACATCTCCAGAACTCTTGTTACCATATCTGTGACATATTTGGATGTTTTTAATGAAACGTTTTAAGGTCTTCAGTCCCCTGTGAGGCCGTACCTTCCCGTGGATGTTGAAGTTGGGGTCTCTGGGAGCCTTGGTGTTGTTGAAGCTGTCCTGGTACTGAGGAGCCGCCGTCCACGGGGAGTGGGGGGCCGGCGTGGACACCATCATGAAGAACGGCTGGTAGTTGGATTTATACTGGAGGAACTCCAGAGACATGTTGGCCTGAGAGAGAAAGAGAGCGAGCGCAGTTACTTCTAGTTAAATAAAAAGCTTAAGAAGTTAGCTGCTCCTCTAAAAGATAGATAACAGAGAATGTCTCACCAGTTTGTCTGTCAGGTAGTCTTTACTGTAGTCGGCTCCATGTTTCTGAGGCTTTCCGTTCACTGACAGAGTGTAGTTGTAATATTTAGAGTTCTTCTCCTGGAAAACACAAACAGCATCCATCAAAACTGGTTTGTTCAACAGTGGTTCTCTCACTATGAATATAAACCTCATTCATCTGTAAAAACTCCACTGTACTTTCTCAGTAAAGGATTTACACTAATGATTTCAAACTTTTAGTTAACTTCAAGCAGCTTGAACTTTAAACTTTAACTAACTTTAAACAAGTTAACAGATTACAGAAGTTGTTGATTTCAGATTGACATGGTCACATGTCCTGACTGACATGTGATCTGCGATGAACTTCACGGCAGCTGTTTGACCGTAGAAACCATAAAGTGCCTCTGCTGCGATAAGCTGTCAGGTCATGAGACCAGTTCTCACATCAGTGTTTGTTCAGCAGCAGAGAAGATAAACTAGTCTGCGCTGCCGCTGTGACCTCTGTGTAATGACTTCTGTAAACCAGTTAGAGACGGACGGTAAATTCAAGAAAATCTAATTTTAGCCCATTTGTTTGTCTGGCTCCTTCTGCAGAGCCTCCAGTCACATGGAAACTTCCCACAGAGACGTTAGTGAGCTAAATCCTCCTCTTAAACGTCTGAAACAATACACTGGATATGGACGGCATGCAGGGAGCGGCTCAGAGGATAAGGTTCAATATTTTTCATCTGATTTGATTATTTTTATAGAAAAAAGGGTTCAATTTCCCTCCAAGACTACTGTTTTATTTTCTTAAATAGTTGCAAAAAACCTCAGACACCTTTAATCCGTCATGAGATCCTAAAACTGTCCCCAAGTACACAACTCTACAACATACAGAACATAGCTCTAGTGTTTAAAGACCTAATGCGGAAACATTACATATTACATCTGTAACTGTATCCAGAAGTGACCCATGATGCCAGACAGGAGGGAGCCTCGGAGTCACTCTGTGGCCGAAAGGTTAAAAGTTTCCAGTCTTACCAGTCCAACCCAGTAGCTCCAGCCTGGAGGAACGTGCTCCACTCCACCAGCCTCCGAGTGTCCGTACTGAAACACACCAACATCCAATGTGTTTAATGACACACACACACACACACACATAGGAAGATGCACAAAGACACATACTGTAGATACTTGCAGATTTCTGTCCGCAGCTGCGTGGCTTGCAGGCATGGCCTACATGAAGTGCTTGTTGAATTGTAGATTTCTTGTCGGTGTGATCATCCAGGCATACATGCACGGAAGGGAAGGCCCAGATTTCTCTCCAGAGTCTTCCCTCCCAGCCTTCCTTCCTGCCACATCTGCTGGCTACTGCTGTGAGCTTGGGATTCTAACGGACAGCCCCATCTGCTTCAAGGGAAGTTTCACATATTTAACGTAAAAAGGATTTTTTTTCATTACATTGTCCAACCTTAGAACAAAATCTTTATTATCTTGCTTGCTTCTTCTGTATTCAGATTTTTTACTAAAATGTCCAGTTAAACTATTTTCTGCAGCTCCTAATTTTCAAATCATGACTGATCCACAGACATTTCTGTTTGAATCAAATTACAATGTCAATAGGCCTAGTTGTTGTTCTTCCCGTCTGCAGCTGGCCT